GTGCTTCTGTAATGTAGTGAAATGTTTGTTTGTCCAAAAGTTAATTTTGATTATGTTTTAGGTAGAAATATGTAATACTCATCTTCTTTGGATTTGAGTGTCGATCAAATGATCAGGTCTTCTAGATTCCTTGTCGAATTCTTATCGCTAAACCACTGCTAAATTATGTTGTGTTCCGTGACGTGAGATGTCTGTAGAAAGTACTTGGACATTGTGAGATTGTCATTTCATTACACTTTTCTCTTTCTGAAGAATTTGGCTTTTTGGAACACCATACTTTATATTTCTCATTCAACGATTGTCTCTATGTCACTTGTTGACTGTTTCTCGGTGATCACAGTAAAGCAGAACCAAGTCGTTTACGGCGATTTTTTTATTTAATATTGTCACAGAAAGTTAAGCTACTCACTGTTTTCTTGTCACATTGGTTTGTTATGTTCTGTGAGGAGACAATCATTTGATAACAGGTGATTAGTATAGTGTTTTCATTGATTCTTACAGTTACGCTTTTAATTCAAAGACAATTGTTTCTGGAGTTGCTGATTATATAAGCGCTTCCAACACGATATTTCAATGTTTACTCATTAAACACATCAAACAATTAAAAATGTCACGTTCTAGTTTGTGTAACACTTATCCAAACCAAGCTCTATTGATGATACCCGGTATATGTGATCCGTTACAATATATCTTGTTACATGGAGTGCCATTGTTTTTGATACTCAATCTAGTCTTCATGTATGTGGTATGATCTGATATTAGAGCAGAATGCATGTGTACCATTGAGTGGATTTGTGTTAGAATATTATCTTGAGCATAGTTTAGTCTTCAGGTCTTATGAGACGATGATGATTTTGCATTGTAGCATAGGCATTCAGTGTTCTTCGAAAGGGGTTCAATATTTTATAATATATTCGTTCTCCTCTATTTATCTTGAGCATCCTTGGTTTTTTGGTGAACAGCTGTTTGAACAAAGTCCTGGATGATGTGTTTATTTAATTGTTGTCATTTGTCTGTGTCACAGCAAAATCAATGATGTGAGTTGTTTATTGATGTTATTTTATTTGCTATTATAAATATACATATATTTAAGCCTATTTGTCTTTGTCCTGTTGGGTGTTTGACTATTTGATGTTACAGTATGTACATATGTATTAAATCTTAAGCATTCCATGCAACCCTCATTCATGTCCTCAGATTAATGTATTTGGTACCGAAAATGTCATAAATATGGATAACAATTTGATATAAAACTTAAAGTATATTCATTTGGGCAGTGGTAACACAGATCCTTTGATTTTTTAAAGACTTTAATGTATGTTAGTTGACAGTAAAGCAGGTGATATTGATTCGCAAGTTATTGTGTACTGAGGTGATGCATGCCTGTACAGTCTACCCCATATGATGAACGACTGGTGGACGCCAGGAACACTAAAGAAAATCATGATTGCATGGAGCTCACAACTAGAAAGACAGGACTGATAAAAGTGTTAAGAGCCTTGCAAGGTGAAAAAAACAGATGATAGTGAGGGTGGATTTAGAAAAAATCAAAATGAGAAACATGTGAGCGTTAATGTGATAAACATGTCAA